TAAATTATATTTATGTAAGTGAAAAATTGTGACAAATGTAGTATACTGTATGAAAAATACATGCGTACAAAAATTTTTAATTTAATGAGTTTTTTTTCATTTTTTGATGGAGATATATCTATATAATATATGAAGATTTATTTTTTGTAAATCATAATATACTGCATATAAAATAATTTAAAGTACGACATAATTCACAGAAATTGGTAGTTTAGAAAATAAAAATAAAAAAAATCGTTTAATATTAAATGTATATCACTTATAATTTTTATGTGAATTAAATTAAAAATATTTAATTTTTTTACATAATTTAAAGATAAATAAAATTTTAATAAAATATTTTTAAAATAACTTTAACCTATTTATTATCTTTTTTAGCTATTCGTAAATTAACATTCTTATTTTATTTTTTAAAGAATTAAGAATATTATTCCTATCTAAAGTAACCATAATATCATGGGTAGTAATAAAAAATTAGAAATTATATTTCATTTATGAAAATAATTTTCTATTTTAAAAATTTAAGAAATTAATATAGGTTATAATAATATCTAAATTAATATTACAAATCCATATTTTAGTATTATTGAAAATTGAAAAAATTTTACACCTGAATTAACAACTTCCACTTAAATATTATTTTATAAATATATTAATATGAAATCGTTAATTTTATATTTAAAAATTACTACATTCCTTCTTTTAATTTGGATGTATCAATGTTTTTATAACGTAAGTTAAAATTTTTACAAAAAATATACATATAGATATATTTTATTTCTAATTATTTTTAACATTTCATTTGATTTACTATTCTAATAAAAGAAACATACTTTTAAAAAATTTTTATTTAATCCATAGTGTGATTGCAATAAATCTTTTATTGATAAAAATATATTGCAAACAAAAAATAAGTTAAAATATGAAAGAGTATTAACAGAGGGTGATATAGCAGGAAAAATGCAAACCTACTCGGAAGGATACCTAGAAGAATGTTCATTAGATAATAAAAAAAACAAAAGGGAAAATCCGGTTCAAAACGAGAATCCGCGCGATCGATGGCAGAGAAAAACTAATCCGTTATTCAGGAAAATATTTGATAAAAAAACAAGTGAAATGGACCCTAAATGGAGAGACCAAAAATGGAATAATGAATGGAATAAAATTTCAGCTAACAAGGTTAATGAACTATCTGAAATATTTCATCGAAGTGATATATCAGAAGAAGAAAAAAAAAAATTAATTCGTAGTGTTAAGGATGAACTCGACACAGAATTTGCGAAATTTTTAGTTGAATGTAAGAATGAGATGAAAGACAATAAAGGAGAATCCAAATCTAAGAAAGAGATGATAGACAATAAAACAGAATCCAAATCTAAGAAAGAGATGATAAGGATTTAAATTTTTAATAAAAATAAGGATTTTTATTAAAGTAAATAAATGCCTATTGAAATCAAAGAACACTAACTGATGTAGATTACATAATTAAGGATCACTCGTTCAAAGCATTTAAAAATGTATATTAATACATCAAAACCGTAGAGTCAACTCTACATGCTCTCTATTAATTTATTTGTTCAGTACTTTAAGAAAGTCACCGAACATCCAATTAATAAACCATGCATACACATTTTACCTTCATTTTAACATACACAATTAAAAATTTTTTTATCATTTTATTTATTTAAATATTATTTAAAATAAGTCTATAATACTACCTATAGGTTAATAATTAAGTTACCTTAATTTTATGAGAAAAGCGTGGATAAAAAAAAAAATTGAAATATAAATATATAAAACTAAAATTAAATTATAAGTAAAATAAATACATTCTTGTATCAATCAGAAGTTATCAATTAGGTATATAATCGCTAAAAAAAAAAAAAAACAAATATTTTTTTTCATATTTAAATAGAAAATTATGAGAATATACATGCAAATATTTATGTTATTATTCGGTTTAATATTTATTTATTGATACGTGTTATATCCTAATAAAAATATATACCACTGTATTTTATAAGAAAAATCAACTGTATGTAATTAAAGATATATCTTTATAGTCAATATGATAAATAATATTTTTATTAAATTTAAAATTTATACTTGTATAAAAAAAAAAAAAAAAAAAAAAAAAGAAAACAATACGAAAATTAAAAACAGATAATAAATAATTATAAAAATATAAAAAAGTAACAATGACAAAAAAAAAATGTATATATATATATCAATGTTCTTAAAAAAATATAAACCTTAAAATTATTAATTTTTTATTTATTAAAAATGATATTTTTAGATATTAATATATTCCGTTTTTTTAGTTTTAATGTAATTATTTTTTATTAAAAATATTTTGTTTCTTTTTTTGCTCTAAGACGTTTTTTTCTTTATTATTTTAAATTTTTTATTTGAAAAAAGCAGTTTGCAATTTTTGTTATGTTTTTTGTTATTATGTATTTTTCTTGTTATCTATATTTTTCAAATATATAGATTCATTAAAATTTTTTTTTTAATTTATATATATTTAATTATAAATCAGTAACAGATATTGTGAATTTTTAATTCTAAATTTATTTAAAAAAGAATTAATAAACTGTTCTTTATTATAAATATAACATCTATATTTATATTTATTTATAAAAAAATTTTTTTTTTAAATGGTTTAAAAGAAAAAAAAGTGTTGTAAAATAATTTTTAATATCTTAATTATTTAACAAGTCTTTTTTTTTTTTTTTTTTTTTTTTTTTTTAAAGCATTCATAGGCAATCTCTTGCTGGCTGTAAACATTTTGTTTTGTGATCCTAGTTTAAATTATCTCCTATGATGGATTCTATGCACTACTTTAGGACCATAAATAATTACTTTCTTGGACCAAATACTGACGTTTAGAGAAATATATGCCCTGGAACTTGGAAACAATACCCCTAAACAACTTTCGGCAGCAAGATAAATATTTCATCAACTGCATCAAATATTAGAGACCATTTCAGATTCTTTGCTTTATGGTAAACCATAATGGATGCATGGTACAGGCGTCTGAATCTCTGGATCAAAAAAATGAGTTTAGAAAGCTTATAAGTGCAAACTCAACTGCTGGAACTTCAAGGGAGTTCAGCTACCAAAGAAACAGTTTACTTCATCTCTTTTGCGAGAGATGATGTTTTCCATATAAGAGAAGGTTGTGAACCACTGTAATACTAAATATAGTTGCTGATGCAATAGGAAATCTAGGAAACCATTGAGAAACAGGTTGCAAGACAGACTTTCACAAATCTTCACAGAAGAGCAATGAGTGTTTATGTGAGTTCTTCTGAGATTCCACAACATCAGATCTTTAAGATTTGTTGTAGTAAATATGCTACACCTGTCAGACATTCTGACCAGGAAAACAGATAGGGGAAATGCATTTTTCATTGTCATTTATGTATTATAATAAAATCTTTTTTTTCTTTTTAACTTTACTAAGACCATATGTTGAAATAAAGACAATACATCATGATAAGATGCTGAAAGCTATTGTTTATTATCTCTCTGTTCTAAAACAACGTTTTCAATGCTCCTCAAGCTGTTTCTATCTTTTCCTTGTTTGGTTTTGTTTTCTGAGTGCCTCATCTGCAACTTGCCTTTTAACTTTCCTCAGGGAAATAAATCTTACAGAGTAGAGCTTTCACAAAACTCCGGCCTGCTAGAAATAAGGGAAGTAACTAATACCTCAGGTGAACAAAAAGGGTTTTTCCCCAGGGAAAAACAGAAATGGCAATATGTGAAACCCTGATTTCAGAGTGAGCTGGTTGTTCTAATATTAGTACTCGCTCAGGGAAATATGTATATGCAGGTACATGGAAGAAGCACCAGCCATCATGAGCATCACGGATGAACTGGGATGTGTAACATCTGTTCCTGTAAGCCTCAGAGTGCTAAAGGGACCACAAACCTGAGAAGAAACGTTGTTAGGTCTAACTTCTGGAAACAGAGCTGAGAAACATCTCAGTAGCAGGCTGTCCTTAATCATAACAAACGTCTCCTCAAACAAAAATAAAAAATAAAAAGTCAAGATATTTAATGATTTCTCTCCAAAACTACTACATTTACACGTTCCTTCAGTGAAACTTTTCCTAGTCCCCTTATGTTTCGTTTGTGTCAGTAGAGATGATGCGCTCTTCAATATCAAAGGTTGCCATTCAAATGCAATTTTACAAATTGTGTCATTTTAAAGCAATAGTGGTAGGATTTTGATTGAAATGTGACCTACACTATTAGCCACAGAGGGATGAGCTCATTCCTTTCTTGGAAAAATATGACTTAAAATGTTTCTTCTAAAACAGTGAAGGACTTGGCTTTGAAACTAATGCTGTAAAAAAAAAAAGAATAAGAAGCTAAGAAGCAGATGACTTTATAACAAGATGATAATCTCTTGATTAACATCAGGATTAAACCAGGTCACATGACTTTAAGCTCTTCGGGTAGTTAGTCAACAACCCCCCCTGGGAATCTGTCCTCAGGGACAAGGGAGTGAAACAGAGCTGGCAGATCTTTAAGGAGGACTTCCTTAAAGAGGACATCAGCTTTCAATCCCCAGTATAGGAAGTCAGGAATGGAAGGCAAGAGACTGGCATGGATGAACAGGGATATGCTGGTCAAACTGGAGAGCAAGAAGAAAATACAAAAGCAGTGGAAGTAGGAACAGGTAGCCTGAGAAGATAATAAGGATACAGCTAGACTCTGTAGGGATGAGTCAGGAAGGCCAAAACCCAAGTGGACCTGAACTTGTCAAGAGGTGCAAAGAAGAATAACAAGAAAGTCTTCTACAGTAGAAGAGGAAATCCTAAGAGGGTATAACCCTCCTAGCAAGACACAGGCTGTTAACAACACTCAACCTATTCCTGACTTACACAAAGGGAGCTCCTTGAGGTCTACTCATTTTTTAACAGAGGACAACAACACTCTTCCTACCTTGCTTATCTCTTCTAAAAAGCTTATAGCCCTCAATGGAGGTAAGT